TCTGCAAAATGGTAGTAGAAGACTTTTTTGTTCAGCTTGATCTAATATACAAATACATGACGGGAGATCTCGCTGTCATAGCTGATCCATCATATCACGCGTGATTGTTCACCAATCTTCTCCAATTAATACTCAAAATCTCATGTAGTTGTCTGCGAAATGGTGGAGGAATTTTGTGTTCAGTTTGATTAGTTCTATCTGTACACAACGGATGTGTGTCATGAATTGCCAGACACACTGTATGTGTATCTACGCGTTATAACAGCGTAAACTTATCGTAGCGAGTGTATTGCTGTTTTACCGTGAAGAATGGACGCCGCCTATTGTTATCGGCGGTTATACGTACGGTTCTTTTTTGGTAACCTCTTCGCTTCGCTCCGATTCGGAGTAACGCGAATCGAGCCCTTAAAATTTTCTTCGCGAGCGCACCCTTTCTTCGTTCCAGCCACGTAGCGAAGTACTCGAAAGCTCGGTCCCACGAACCACGCGAAATCGACACTCTTCTGGCTACGTTTCAAGAGTGCTAAACCCGTCGGCCGCCATTTCTGGAGAAGTACACTTCGCGATCGTATTCATCAGAAAAGAGCGCCGAGGGCCGTGTGTATCGCTTCAGCGGGAAATTGATCAACATACGTGTGTCGTGTCAAGGCAATTAAAAGTGGAAATTATACAATTTGTCGAGTTATAATTACGGATCGTCTCTCTCTCGGCGGCGCACTCGCCGACAAAATTAAAATGGATCTGTAAGGTAGAAAGAGAAAAGAATATTTTTTCAATTGCGTATCGGAAATAGTAAATTGCGCGCGTGAATAATAATATAAGTAGATATGTCTCGACAACGTGAAATTTCACGAGTGAAGTAGTATTTTGTCTACGCTTTCGCCGCTCAATCGTAGAGGGCTCGTAGAGAAAGCATTGCATAAAGCTAGCGAAGCCTTCGAACAAACAAGTTAGCGGATTTTTCGACCAAAGGACTACGGGGAACAAATAAGAAACAGACGAACGAGACTGTCGAGAGGCACAGGAAAGGGGGACGTTTGCCCGCGCTTACCTCCTCTTTTAAGGTTCTTGCAACGTTCCGGAAGTACGAAATCTAATTTAACCTCCGGTCCGATAGCAGGACTCTTTCCTCGCTTGAAATTCCCTTCCGCGGATCCTCCCGTGTAAATCGGACCGACGCAAGAACTTTGGCAACTTGAACAACTCGAATTTTCAGAGTCATTTGGGACACGAGCTGGAGTGGCTGATCATTATTAGAAAAGTGAAAAGTTAGATTTGAAAAACGGATTTTGTAAGTCTCAGAGAATGTGTACACGTTCGTACACGTAAAACTTTGCCACCTTTGACGCGCTGTAAGGAGGAACGTTTCTACGATAAACAACATAAAATCAAAAATAAATTTACCTGATTTACCTGGTATAAAATTATTATCTTGGTAAGGATCTCTTCTTTCTAGTAACATTCACAAAATGAAAGAGATATTTCAGAGCTACTCGAATTTCTCTAATAAGTTTAAACATTCATGTAATGTCGTGTTTTATCGTACATTCGTGATATTTTCTGTACTCTGTACGACATGTACTTGAAAAAGCTCTCATAAGTTCGTGCGCGAATTTAACAAACGAATAATGCGTCGCGTCCTTGGCGCGATTGCGGATTAAAGAGAAAAAAAAAAAAAAATATATATATATATATATATATATATATATATATATATATAAAGAAAGGCGCCAGGCGTATACCGACAAAAGTTTTCGTCACTCCGGATACGGGGAAGTTTCACCGTATTTGCGCATCCGGTATCATAAATCTACGACTTCTCCCGTCTTCTGGTACCCGGTGGCCAAGTCACCAGGCCCTCCGTCCGTCCGAAGAATAAATTTGCAAGGCTGCCACATTTCTCCCGGTTTGCTCTCCCGTTATTAATTCTTTTCTCGATGAGAAATTTTTTAAACGCGCGTTTTTCAAAATTGACATTTGACACGAGCAAAGGCGCCAATAAACCCGCAACTGATAAGTCAATCTCTGCATACTCAAGAATACGTAAATTAAGATTATTATTTTGCACGTCCTTCGTGGTCTTTATTTGGAAGGATAAAAAGTTCCCCTATTATTTTCGCGTATCAATAATGTCGATAGCTTTTCCTCAAAGGTTCTTTTGTATCTGAAAACACAAGAAATATGTCCTTATTCCGCCTCAAGCAACGCAATTATTATTACCAAAAAACTTGCTGTCGTGTCGTTCATTAATTCAAGCTACGTCATATCAGGAAATCATAATCCCCTCATAATCCGCGTGAATTCTCCGTCCGCGCGCCAATTCATCGCTATCAGCGCCAGGTTTTTGTAGATTATTGATGATCGGGGCGTTTCGCCGCACAAAAGAGTGGCATAATAACGCAATTAGCGGCGCGTTGACAAATTGAATCGATCCGGAATGTATTCTTTTCATGGTGTCTCAATATATCGTAGAAATATCTCTTTCCCTCCCTCCTCTATCTTTCTCTTTCTCTCTTGGCTTTTCCCCTACCGATAAATATTTCATGGCGCCCGTTGTCCCCACATCCGTCGAACGTTGGACGATCCTCCGTTACACGGCTTCGCCCGGCCACCACCCTCGAAAATTCTTGCGGCGAGAACCATGAAAAACCGATAATCTTCCATCAATCAGTATCAGTGCGGCATCGCGTCGCGGTTTCGAAAATGTAGGATATTCTGCGCGCGGATGAGCTTATAAATTTAAAAGGAAATCGCACTTAGCCTGATCTCCGCCCGTTAAAATTTTTCACGGGTGACACCGAGGGGCCGATTTATGTCAGATATTGATTCTCATGCGGCGCAGCAGCTACCATTGTTACTTCGGGCTTCTGCGTATCGAGGAGCTCTGGCTCTTCGCGAAAACGACGCGTTTAGCCGACGTAGATCGTCGCACGGACACTCGACCGACATTCGGTTTCTCTCTCGCAAGCGCGTGACATTTCTATCTGATCGAAAATTGAGCTCTCTGTACCTCGCGGATCGGATTATCGCGCGCGCGACGATAAAGCTCCGTACGAAGCTGTCGGCCGTAATATGTCCGGCGATGTCAGAGAACTCTTAACTCCGTCCATATCGGAAACGGCGTGAAAACGGTGAACGCAATTAGAGAGGCGATCGTGTGTACACCCGCGGATTGGTCGCGATGCAATTACGCACGGCAGGGTGGGCGGCTGGTCGGTCGGGCGAAGGTGTTAAATTCACTGGATGTATACGTCAGAGCGTGCGAGCGAGCGAGCGAAGCGAGCCCCATTCTGGGTGGTAGCCGACACAAATCCGATCGTATTTTCATCGACGCCAAATTGGCAATATCCTCGCCGGTGACGATTCCTGAATTATGCATCAGCCTCGGGGACAGTCGCTCCGAAGTTTATCCATCCTGCTTGTTTCCACCGAGAAGCCCGACCCGCTCAGCTCTCTTCCACGCGGAGAGTTTTCTCCCCCTCTCTCCTCCGCCTCCGCCACCTCCTCCTCCTCTTTCTCTTCCTCCTCGTCCTCCTCCACCTCTTTCTCCTCCTACTCCTCCTCGTCGTCGTCCTCGGCATCGTTCGCCCCCTCTCGCTTCTCTGCCTCCTCTTCGCCGTCCTCCGCAACCCCTCCGAACCCCCTCGGAACATTGCACGTCTCGTCTCTCTCGACGGCCGAATTGCCACCCCCTTTCGGGCTCCCTACCCTCCGCACCCTTTCTCGGCTGGAAACGTCACTTATTGGTCGAGCGAGAGGGTGGAAAAAGAGACGATACCCTCGAATCCGACCAATCACGGTGAACGCCCGCGATAATGCTCGCGATATCTTGCACTGGTGAAACCTGGCCTGGCGAACGCCGTAGGAGAGAAGTTTCCGCGAGCGCGAGATAGCTCTCTCATCGACAGCGATTCCGGCCGAAACCGCTTGGATTATCGCCGGGATTGAGACGCGCCGATACATGCCTTGTGCTCTGAATATTTTCTTGAAAATCTCTCGCTCCCGCGTTAAACAGTCCTAATTTTTCTTTTTTTTTTACTACAATTCAGGTAGTTCGTCGCTAAGATACTTCCTTGAGGAATATTCTATTCTTTCCCTAGAGGGAATGCTACGTATCGCCCGTATCGTTAGTCTTTGAAATTAAATTTTAAGAATTGAAAGACGATGTTTTTCCGGTTCGCTCTTTTGTCAATTGTCAAAACTCATATTTTTGTGGAGAACTTTTAGCGAGAAAGAGTGTGTGACAGCTGGTGACATACAATCGACCGGTGAGAGGCGAAAGAAAAGCCGGTCATTCCTGTTTTAATAATCAGGAACCGTCATAGAGAGGCTAGGTTATCCTATTGAGCGCCGGAAAAACGGCGCTTAAGCCTTTAAGAGAGCATCGAGGCCGGCTCGAGGGACAGACAATGGGAGGTAAAAGTAAAACGTCGTTTCGGGAACGAGGGTGGCCTACCCTAATAATAAAATGATAAGAACCGTCGTCCGTCCTCCCGCCGACCGCCCCGCCCGGTCCAACTTCCTCCCCGGTCCGAACCCCCGTCGTATATAAATGTCGATATTATTGTAACGAAGCGCCTTTGATGCCGATTTCGTGGCGCGCGTTTACTCACGCGCGCGCATACACACACACACACACACATTTGTACGCGTCGCTTACTCGTGGAAACAGTTACGGGCGGAGGCGGCGTGGCACGTACAGCCACGATTATTATCGCGTACACAGACGGTACACACGGGATCGAATCAAACGATGGAACCGATCTCCAGCGGTAGAAATCGATTTCCTATTTACAGCCCCCTGGCCGTTGCCCTCTTCCGCCCCTCGTACTTCCTATCCGGACCGGCGTGATGCGCGTCGCAGCGATGGATACGACCTGTCGTCGAACAGAGGCTGCGCTCGAATCGGGGAATCCGAATCCCCTCGACTAAATTAGTAGCTGATCGGTAAATAGAAAGACACAGGAGGCTAATTCGTAGTCGCGCAAATGAGAGAACAATTGACGAACAAAATTTTATTTAGACGATATTGATGGGAGTGAGATCGGTTTGACAATGTTTGACGATATTTGATTCGTAGCACGCAAACTATGATACAGATCTGTGCAAGCTTCTTTGAATTTCCAAAGTTGCTAAATAGACATTTTTTAATGAGCAACGGTGATTTTTGCGTGGTCATTAGAAGAAGCTCACAAATGTGATACCCGAGCGCATTCTCCAAATCTGAAATTCTTTAATCATCTGTTGCGATTAATCGTGTTAATTTTGTCTATTTTTCTGCTAAACTCCAATGCAAAAATCTGGTCTAAGAAATGCGCGCGAAAAAAACAGAGGAAGGTTTTTATTTCGTACAATTGTCTGCGAGATCTATTCAAATTTAAACTTGAGTTTTTTCTTAAATTAATTAAATAAAATGCAGGCTGGATGCCGCATGACCAACTAAGTCCATATTCGAAACTTCTAAAGAGGAGATATTTAAAGAAATACTATTTTCACTGAAACTTCGACCAAATTTATCGATTAACGGTGTAACTCTGACACGTGTGATCTTTAACGCACACGTTTCTGCACACGGCTTTCAACGCGCGCGCGTAAATCCATCAGCGGTATATAATTTCCGAATAAATAACCCGTCAGTCACGCGACAAGCAACATGCATCGGCAGCCGGTTTGTTCACCTTGCACTTAAACTCTCGCGACGAACGGTGCGTTTCCTCCTTCTCTCTCGTCCCTTTTTTTCAAAAAGTGGTTCAGATGGACGACGCGAGAATGTCGGACGAAAAAATTGGCAACCCAATTGATCGCACAGAGCTGACGGATAGTGAACGAGTCGGCCTCAAATTATTGACAATTATCGATCCAGGAGACCGAACCTCTAATTTCATAGATCTCGCAGAAACCATTCCCCTTCGCGCACTTATTCCTACCTTCGTGTCGACTTTTATTTCTGACTAGAGAAGAGATAATAGAAAAGATACTATATCTAACGCGCACGAAGACACAATCCAAGTGGATGCCTCGCTAAGTGTTCGCAAAATCGTTGCACGCATATCGCGTGTCACTTGCGCGACAAACTTTTAGGGTTTTCGTGTACTCGGCTGATCCTTCTCGCAAGCCTGCAGCTTTTCGCACTTCTTCAGGGGACAGTAGTGCACCCCCGTGGGACAGGAGTACGGCTTTTTCGGGGAACACGGCGGCAACATGAGCTGCTTGATCTCACTCCTGTGCTCGTAACACGGGCACGCTCCGGGGTGTATTTTAGGCGGTGGTGGACAAGGACACAGGAGGATCGGTACGCCCGGTGGCTTTGGCAATGGTGGAGGCGGGCAAGCTTTCTTCTTCTTCTTCTTGTTGATCGAATTGATTCCCGTGCGTGGCTCGATGTCCTCCTTCTTGATGTCCTCCTGAAACGGCGGGCACGACGCGAGCTTCGCGAATTTCGACGGCGGACACGTCACCTTCTCGTACGTCATCTTCGGCGGCGGGTCGATATTGGGAATTTCGCATTTTCCCCTCGGTAGGCAGGTATCTCTGCATAACGGTTTCTCCGGTTCCTTCTTCGGCGCTTCCTTCTTCTGCTCCGGTTTCTCGCACTTGACCTTCTCCCGAAGACAAGGGTCCTTCTTCTCGCATGGCTTGCCGCAGACATTGTCTTTCGCCATCTCGCAGATATCGTTTATTTTCTGGCAGTCGATCGGTTTGCCAGAATTTGACTTGTTGTGCGGCACGGTGGTGTTGTGAAATCTTCGCAAATGAGCTCTACGCAGTGGCGTAGGGTGACGAAGACCGCGGTAAGCGAACACTTTGCATAATCCGTGTGTCCGTGCTTTGTGCGAGATTCCATATGTATCTTGTGTGCGCTTCGGTTTCGTCTGTCGTCTAACTTCAGTATATGGCTGTGAAGAAATACATGGTACATATGGAAGCCACGAAGAAGATTTGGACTTGAGACCTTTGTACTTCGGGTGTAATCTGTTCGGTCTGTATTGTATAGTAAATGTGGAATATAAAAGAGGTTCACGTAATAGTCTTTTAATAGGTGTCTCAACAGGACATTTAAAATCTGCTGATTCATGATGGTGTGATAATGATGAAATGTATTCTTCAGTAAATGGGAACATTCTCAGAGGTGATGAATGAGAGAACGTTTTTGCCGGTATTTCTTTCAAAGTAACCGGTAGTCGTTTGTAACCTACCGCAACCGAATCACCCGGAAAACGCCTGGTTAGTTCGCCAGTTTGACCGGATTCTTTATTTGTTAGAGGTGTGTCTCTCATATGCTTGTTCTCGAAGAGAATGACATTTCTCGTGCGAATCAATCTTTTTTGGCTAGATGTCAAAGAATTTTCTGGCTTGTTCCGGATTAGTTCTCCGACCCCAAAAGCAGGCTTCGTGCTATATCCCATTTCTGACTTGAGACACTCCCCCATTATTCCGACAGATGTTTTTGGTAGACTCTTTGGCAGTGCATCCACTTGACTGTACTTCGCTCGATCAACAGCCTGCGGTTCAGAGAAAGACGTGAGAAGGGAGATATATAGCTACTTTTCTTAGAAATAACAACTCTCGGTTTCCACCTGATCAATTGGCCGCCGATGCCTCCACGTACCCTCTGTCTCTCTCTGTTTCTCTCAGTCTCTCTTTCTCTCCCTTGCTTTATCGTTCTGTTTAGCTCACTGACGCGATTTAACATTTATTGCCTTTGCACGGTTTCTTGGACGGGCATTTAACGCAAAATGGCTTTTTCTTGGGCCGCGGTTTCGAAGGAAGATAGCCCGGTGGGTCGCTAGGCCGACAGGGGCCTTTGGGTGGGTCGCATGGATGCTTCTTCGGTCGAGCCGGTGGATCCTCGCCGCAATCTGGTTCGCCCAACTGCAGTCCGATGCCAGCGACTGCCTGCTAGTTATTATGCATGAAGTCACGGAGGATCGTTCTGCGATCTTCCTCAATGCTCTCCCGCGATTGTCCCGACTCGCCTCTGGTGAGTCCACCTCCCTCTTTTGAAGAGATCAGTAAAACGGCAGCACAGGGGCCGCAAAGGAATTTTTGCGCGAAAGTAATAATGAGCAAGTTTCGGAATGACATCGGTCGGTCGGAGTTCAAGTTCGCTTGTTTGCTTGTCGGTGAGAGTATCCTCTGACCGATGAAACCGGATCGACTCGTCGGCTCGTTAGTGCTGTTGTTCTCGTTGCTGATCTCCTCCTGCTCCTTTTTGTCTGACCGAGCCGCGCTCTTAGTCGCGTTGCTTTTGGGACGAAAAATTCGCCGCTTAAATTCTGACACCTTGTCAATCAGAATCTGCAGTCTCTCGGCGGCGTTCTTCTCAAAAGCTCCCTTCGACATCGGTATCGCGTGTCCGGCCTCCGTCGATCTTACACTCGGCGAATACACGTGCGTGATGAACCTCGTCAACGCATCCTCGCTGACGCGTCTAAACATCGGCAATGTGGCGATGGACGCGAGATCGTAGCTTTGGTCGTCGGAACGCCGCGGCTTCTCCTCGGGTATTTTTCTGATCGTGCTCTGATGATTGTCCATACCGATCTCGTCCTCGAATTCCTCGCCTTGCGGGAAGTAATCGTCATTGCTCGGTCTATCGCCGTACGATAACTCGGATTCCCCAGGCTGACGTCTGTCGCAACGACGCGACGAAGTGATCGTGTATAAAGGACCCCTGTTGGCTTTGCTCTCACGGCGTTCGATCGATCTCTCGTTTTCGGATAACTCTATCGCAGATCTTGAAGATGGGCTCGATCTCTCTCTTCTCTGCGGAGAGAGGACGACCACAGTGATCGAATTTATGGTAATTCGTTATTTACCGTCGCGAACAAGACTTTTTTATGTTTTTTTCCTCTTTTCATTTGTGGTCTGCACTGCACTCGCGGAATTTTCAGCGGTTCAAGGTGGTCGATAGTCGATGAAACAAAAAGAGGCAGAAGGGAGGTGGAGCCACAGCGATCAATTTTTGAGAAAACTTGCGATTTTGCGATTCTACTTTCCCGCGCGCTCGCCTGTCTGACTTAATCGTGGAATTTTCACCGAAACTCGCGTGAATCGTAAGATATATACGGGTTACATGCGAAGTGTTATTTTATACTTTTCACGTTCGAAACAGAGCATAATGTGAGATGCTAAAATTGTTAAAACGTACTATTAGGCGAGGTCTACAATGAAGATTTAAGCTTTAAGAAATTGACCAACTATGGTTGAATATTCTTGTCGACGAAAAATCGATTGTGGTTGGTCAATTTCTTAAAGCTTAAAGCTTAAATCTTCATTATAGACCCCGCTTTAGAGGGGGAGGAAATTAGTATCTTGAAAACTTACTTCACCGATCGTTCCGCGTTCTCGAAACCCGCTACCAGGACTTTCCGCTTTCGGTCGTAACTGTAACGAACAATAACATAACGTGACTTAACGTGACACGATTGTTTGATTAAGATATTAAAAGAGTATCCCTACCAATAAAAAAAACGTATGCAGAAAATGCATCGTAACATTTATTATCATCTACAGGATTTATCACACAAATTTTTTTACAAAAATATATACTTTACAGATAACATATTGTAGAAACACAGCATTTCCTAATTATAATCAAGTAATTTAAAAGTATTAGAATTATATATTCAAGTTGTTTTTGATGGATCAGATTTCTTGTTCAAGCGGTTCACTTTTGTATTTATGCAAACTTTGTACAGAATAGAATAATTTCTCTTAAAAGTTTCAGTCCTAAAAATAATTATGTTTTTATTTGATAATTTAGGCGAGAAGTAGTTTCACTTTGCCCTGAAATGGCTTCAACAATCTTCTTCCTGGCCACTATCTTCTGGGCAACCTGGAGCCCTCTTAACGGGCGGACATTCTCTCGTTTTACGCGACTCGACTTTCTTCATATCGGAGCAGTCTTTCTCTTTCTTCCCCTCACGGGTCATTTTCTTCTTTTGACATACCTTTTGCACTTCTCTCTGTTTACACGACACGTCCTTATCCGCGCTCCTCTTGCACTTGTCTTCTTTAGTCTTCGTACACGTAGCTTCCTTCGACTCCTGTCGTTTACAAGGAACTGGCTCCGCGCGTTGATGTTTTTTGCAAGGATCCACCTTTGCTCTAGAGCTGTCGTTGTCCTTGTGGTGCGTGCACGATTGCTTCTGACACTTCTCTTTCCGGGTATTACAAAAATCGTGGTCATCTTTATTATCACAAGAACTTTTTCTCTCGCTGCAAAGAACCGTCGTTTGTTTCTCACACACTCGTTCGCGCCTCTCGGAGCAATCCGTGGTTCTTCGTTGGCACACTTCCCCTCTCTTCTGACACGTTCCCTCCGTAGTTTTGCAGGCTTTCTTCCTCTTGTTACAGATATCGTCTCTATCCTTTCTTCTGAGAAGTCTGTCCCACAACTCACAGATCTTTTCCAACTTGCGCCGAATATCAAATTTTAAGTCGCAGTCCTTCGGCGCAAAGAGAATCCTGTCAGAGAGTAAATCGTAAACGGAAAGCGCTTCGTTTCCAGCAGGGATATTTCCCCGATTGTAGAAATCCGAGATGGTAATCGAGCGTGATTGGACATGTGAGTCTGACAATATAGATTTAATTCCAAAAGATACTCGTTGAATCTTATTTTTCTCTTTAGCTGTCGCATTATTTTCGAAATTGTCAATCTTTAAACGTTCTCGGAAGCGACCGTTATTGCGACTGATCGGATTGTTCGATACGCTAACCAATGTCCTGATAGGAAACCAGCCGATGAATCCTGCACTGCAACTGCAGATATCACGCAACCATTTCAGCTTATTATTCAATAACGTCTCTGACGTCGATCGATTAGTTGACATCTTCATTTTGCAATTTATTTCTATATTTAAAAGTTTTCCGGCGTTAAACTGTCTTGTCGATCCTCCCATCGGTTTTTCCTCGTCGTCTAACGAAGAAGGCGACAATGATCGACAATTATTCTCTTTCGCGTCGGAGACATTACGAGGTGAATTCCCGGTTTTGCCCTTATCCTTAATCGAAAGATGCCTCCAGGAGGTTCTCGTTGCCGCGATAAAGTTTATGTATTCTTGAAACGGCGAACACGTCAAGCCGGGGAAGCACTTGCGGATCGCGGTGGCGCAATCCCTTTGGCGGGTTCTCGTGTCGTTAGGACCGATCTTATCCAGGAGTCTCGCGTGAGGACACAATCCGCTGCACGCGTTGCCCGCCTGAGGAAGGCGAGATAGGCACTTATGCTATGAATTTGGTTGTGCTCCGTGGATTTAATCCGGCTAAGAATTGACTTAAGATTTAAAGAAATAGTTTGGGGGTTCTAAGCGCCAGTCCCATTGGCTATCGATCCTGCTCCTCGAGATGGAGATTTTTCTCAAGAAAGCACTTCCGTGTTTCCGCATTTCCGCGTTTGAAAATATATGCAAAGATTCTTTCCTTTATTTTTATTTTTTTTTTTTTTATTTAGCGGCCGATATATGAGGTAACAGTATCAATTATAATTTAACCCTCTCACTCTCTCTGCCCCATTATATTTTAGATAAATTATTATATATTTGAGATTTATTTATTTCTTACCTTTGATATTATTTCATTAGACATCAACGAATGATTTAATGTTGGAACTCCCTCGGCTATTGGTAAACGATAAAGAGCTTCCACAAGTTCCTTGGTTTCTTCCACAAGTTCTTTGGTTTCACGCTACAAAAAAATCTGTTTTATATATATCTCACATTTGAAATACTATGAATGTTACTTTAAAAGGGAAAGATGGAAAATATATTATTAGTATTGTGTGCTTTAATGTAATTATAATTGGATCATTATACTCTTCTTTTAGTTTCTCTAATTTAATAATATTTCTCTAATAATTTCCAAATTTATTATATCTAAATTTCAGTAATTCTAAAATTCTCCTCGCACAATTGATAGATCGCATCGAAATTCTTTTACGTACGTAGTAATTATTAAACAACTTACGATATGTGTGAGTGGTTGATTGTCGCAATAATCGCGTATCCTACTGCGATTAGGCAATGGTTTATTGGTAGTCGTCACATCATACAGCGCGAGTGTGTTCAATTTCATGCTGTTTCTTAATAATTGCGACTGTGTCCGACCAATTTCTCCAGCACCGCCAATAAAAAAATTCTACATAGACAGTTTTCATTAGAGTAATCTAATCTAAGTAAACTAACTCCGTTTCTCAATGACGTTCGCGTTTTCTTCGGAAGACATAGAGATTTTGTAAATTAATAATATAATCTATAAATATGATACGTATATGTAAGTATATATTTGTACTACATAGAGTTCGTAAAATCAAATATTTCGCAGCGCATTGAAAGTCAGCTAAATAACACTCATAAATACCTTGAAGTTCTGTTTACCAATGTAGAACTGTCGTGGCCCGAGGGACCTCACGATTAATTTTGTGGCTCGGGAAAACATCGTTATGCCAGTGAATAACTTGGAAATTTTTTAACGCCTTCAACAGGCGTCCGATATGTCCGAATTGATTGATTACATGGCGTTTGTTAAACGAACATCGATTTTTTCGACCTCAACTGTCAGAATATATTGCGACAAAAGTCAAGGCGTCATGCGATTTTACTATCGATACTTGCATTATCATTACTGACTACGTTTGCAACTATAATACAATAAATATAGTTATAAAAAGCTTAATTAAAAAATAAGTTGATATCGAGAATAATACATCGTTAAATGATATCATTGAAACGTATTGATTAAAAATAAAAAGATTCTCTAACGTATCATTGAATTTTATTTAAAAATAAAAGTCCGCTCCATCAATTTACTTTCATATTCAAAATTTTAATTTTTAAACATTGTAGCAATATGTAATTTATATATTAAAATTTAACATGAATTCTTACAGTCCAAATAATTTCTTATTTTTAAATTACACAGCTAATTAGTAGGCGAAAAGGACTTTCATTCTCAAGTAATATAATTCAATGGTAGATAAGTAAAATTCAAGAAGCTATAATTCCGGAAATAATAAAGATAATGAGGTGATTCAAGAAGCATTTTATAGCTTAGAGTCTCTGCTTTTCAGATATATAGGGAGATAAAGTTTAATTTTTTTTTACGGAACTATATAAGTATGATATAACTATATGAATATAAATCGAGATTTGCCGGATGCTAAAATTTTTTACAAACTTTATTGAATAATACTGTGCAAACAAAAAATCACAAACAAATGGCGTTTACACCATTTAAAAGCATGATCCTTCTTCTTTAATTTGCGCCCACGCAGATTGCACTGCAATGTTTTTTCGTCGAATTATTCGACATTGAAATAAAACGCGTCTCTTCGACTTTGGTTGCACACAATAATTAAACAAAACAGTGTGTAACATTCACTGAGCTATGAATAAAAAGCTAAAAGTTTTTTCTTCAAGCTGTATGTATTTTTTTTTTTTAATTAATTTTCAATATAAAAAGTCAACCGAAAGATATAATTGAAACTTGAATAGTCTCCATTTCCTACTTAATATATTTAATAAATAAACAATAGTAACGTTATATATTTAATATTCTTGAAAAGCAGAAACTTTAAGCTTTAAAATGCTCCCAGAATCATTTCGCTATCATCATTTTTGTCGAAGTTAAAACCTATTGTATTTTATTTCGGCATAAAGAAAAAATGCATTAAACTATTATCTTACAACCCATCATTATCTTAAATCCTCGGTAAGTATAGTGGCGGCTCGTAGCGGAGATTTTGGAATTAAAAGTTGCCGCTGTATATCGGAAACCCAAGATACAAACCGACTGATACGATATCGACATTTAGCTGAGATACAAACCTTCCTAGCAAGCCGCGTGTCTAACTTTAACAAATAATTACTTGAAAACTAAGACGAATCAGACGAAATTCTCGAACGTGTCAAATGTTTTTTAATGTAGTTTTTCCATATTTAATTGTGTGGCGATCAGTCCGTGCATTTTCGAAAACGGTAATACGCAGACAAATCACTATACAACTAAATACGATAAAACTATATTGAAAAATAGTAAAAATAGTAAACACTTGTTCGAGCGTTTCCAACTCGTCTTAGTTTTCGTAAAATTAATTATTAAAGAATTACTTAGAGATCAATCGATCACATGGCGTCATCTAATGGTGTCATACTAGAACTTCTTCATCAGAAGATTCAAGTCCTGGCTAAATATGATTCAAATCTTGACAATGTGAGAGTTGCTAAATATTATTCATGTTGTAAGTATACAATGTCAACTTTTACTGCCAAAGTCTCTATTACAAGCTGCTAGTGTACTTATTGAATATTTGGAATCGTAGTAGAATTTAATAATAGATTAGATAAACTTTTCTTTCATGTTGAAACATAAGTAATCATTTTCGGAAATGTACGAGCTAATCGCTCCGTAATTAGATATGGTAAAATTACATTAAAAAATATTTGACTCCTGTTTGAATGTTGACCAACTTGGCTTGGTTTTTCGTGAAATTGTTTATTCGCGGCTCGCCAGAAAGGTTTAAGTCTCAGCTAAGTGTCTTGAGGTGTATAGCGAAAACTTTTAGTTCCAAAGTCTCCGCTACGAGCCGCCACTATACTTATCAAGGATTTAAGATAATGATGGGTTGTAAGATAGTTTAACTTTTTCTTTTCAACACAAAATACAATAAGCTTTAACTTCGGCAAAAATGACGATAGCGAAATGATTCTGGAAACATTTTAAAGCTTGAAGTCTCTGCTTTTCAAGAATATTATATACATAACGTTACTATTGTTTATTTATTAAATACATCAAGTTAAATGAGAAATGGAGACTATCCAATTTTTAATTACATCTTTCAGTTAACTTTTTACAATGAAAATTAATTTTTATAAAAAATACGATAAGTACATCTTAAAAAGGAAACTTTTAGCTTTTTATCTATTGTTTAAGAAATGTTGTACACCGTCCCGTTTGCCTATTGTGTGCAATCAAAGTCGAAGAAGCGCGTTTTACTTCAATATCGAATAATTTGATGAAAAAACATTGCACTGCAATCTACATAGATGCAAATTAAAGAGGAAAGATCATACTTTCAAATGATGTAAACGCCATTTGTTTGTGATTTTTCATTTGCACAGTACAATTTGACAGAGTTCGTAAAAAGTTTTAGAATCCGGCGATCTCGACTTATATTAATATAGTTCCGTAAAAAAAATTAAACTTTATCCCCAGGAATATATTTAAAACTAAATATTTTAAACTATAAAATGCTAAAATATTTTAAACTATAAAATACTTCTTGAATCATCTCATTATCTTTGTTATTTTCAAAATTATAGTTTGTTGAATTTTACTTACCTTTTATGATAGAGTAATGACTTATTTATATTCAAATAATAAGATTTAAGCAGATCAGAAGGACATTTATTTTAAGACATTACGATTCAACGATAGGTGAATTTTTTATTCTTTCAGTAACTTTTATTAATGTCATTCTTATATTCTTTCTTAAACATCGCCCACGCCCAACCAGTGGTAACATAGATTCATAAAATTTGGATTTATCACAGCAATGCACTGAACTGTTGGCGTTATATTATAAGCCACTGTCAATATTTTGACTATGCAGTCCTTATCTACGAGCTAAAATGTGGCTAACCTTCTTATCAACGCGCTCTTATCAATAGCTGCTAACACGAGATTATCGACCAACAAAACCTATGCACACGAACAAGAGTTCATGATATTGATTTAATAATAAAAATAAATTTATCCTGTTAAATTATACGGCATGTTAGATAATTTATACACAATAGTAAGAACTCATTCGTGAGAGAAGAGGAGAGAAAAATTTTGCATGTATGAAGTAGGATATTAAATGTATGTGTGTAAAAGAAAACCCATTTATATATTTTTTTAATTCTTTATTCATGTTCTGAAATAATTTATTCCACAAGTCATGTGTATATAGTAGAATGAAACGCTTTTATTTTCACTCTTATAAACATTCTTATATTTTATTAATTAATGTACAAAGCAGGATTTTTATATACGAATGCGCAAGCGATTACACATATAAGGGAGAAGATGGAAATACATATCACTTTTTTGTCTTAGATGAAAAACTCAATATTAGATGCAATAATCGCATCAATAACTGTCAGAAGCGTTAAAAATATATCTCTTGTAATATATTCATAATTATTAGGAAAAAAAATCTTTGAAGAGCACGATATTTTTTTTTAATATAATGCAAAAAGTGAGGTTTTGGAAAATAGAATAAAATATGTATGAAAATTTACTTTGTTATTATAAAATTGTTGACGTTAAAACAACTTTTTAATTAAACTTTAAAAGTAAAAATTATAAATTAAAAATGGAAATTAAAAAAATTCTATAGAAATTAAGAAAATAAAGTTCAATAATTCAAATTATATAAAAATCCTTTAGATAAGTGAACAAAAGTCGTAAATAAAAACATAAATTTCATACTCACTAGATATAGAACACTTTGTTCTATGTTATCACCTATTGCTATATTTTCTAAATACAAACCAATGAATCTCAAAGTAGAAAAAATATCCAAATAATAAACTCTGCAATTTTAACTCACAACCGCGAGTTTAATGTCATTATTAATCGGCGCACTATAATTAATATGTTATATTTATCAATTAAGACGAAAAAATATTGTTTAATCTTACCTAGTGAAAAGTTTCAATAGGAATAAAACAAATCGGTTTCTCTTAAGTCGATAAACTTTACTGTAAACGTGGTATTGACGCCAGACTCCTATTACGTTTATTTCAATCACTGATAGATCGCAGCAATTGTTTAAGAAATCAGTCTCATTTCATATTATCACCTTCTCCCCTATTTATTAAATAAAAAGGACATCCGCAGGGCATATCATCGTAATAATCTAACTAATAGCCATCGTCTGACCACGTAACGTTGTAGTCGGGAAATTTTTTCTTCAGTAATTCAACCGATACCCGATGATCAGCTTTGCCGAAACCCTGTAATAAAAAAAATAATTAAATTACATTAATTTTTTTCGAAATTAAATTATATATTTTTTTCGAAATTAATACGGAATATTAACTTTTTGCGCGATTTTTACGCAGTAACGTTCGATTTCGTTACACTCATTTAAGAATCTGCCAACACTAAACGGAGAACTACCTGCGCCGGTGATCACCGCGTTACGAGAATAGATTTCGTGTTATTTTCAGCCTTGAAGCTTTTACGTGAAGTGCGCTCGAAATCCGCCGCTGTTGAGTTGGCGGCAGCAACGTACAAAAAAAAAAAGAAAAAGGAAGAAGAGAAACGAGGAGAGAAAGGAGAGGAAATAAAGAGAGAACGGAAACAAAGATTTCGGACAAAATTCCGCCGACGAGTTGAATCGTTCGCATTATTTCAGAGGCAACGAAAAGACTGAAGTAGCGACGAATGAGATTCTTGAACGAACAAAAGCACTTTTCCGACGTAGAAAGTAAGCAAAAAACACACCGAGTAGCAAAATTAGATAATGCATCCGTAAATTCCCGATTGTCGTCGAAACACTTAGGTAATAATTAGATACAATTAAAACATTGAATCAGACTTAGGTTCGTATTCATAGACCGATCTTTTATTTAAGATTGTCTTAAGTTCATTATCTGATTAGCTCCACAACTAATGAAATAATTCGTACAGATCCGAAGATGAACTATGAATATATTATCCTTAGAGCTGTAATATCAATTATATGAAATTTCCGAATATGTAATATGTAATAAAGATATGTACATATCTTCTTTAAGGAGTTTATTCACTTAAATGCTTAGAATTATACGCTGAAAATTATATGCTAAAAATTTAACATAAAATTACATGCTAAAAATTTATCGCGGTAAAACACACTCGTGAATAAACCAACCAAGTAAAAAACTTAACGTTATAAATGTTGAATATTAAGAAACGCGGCAAAGAAAAAAGAATAACATTCACCGCTTTTATGTAATAGTCGATTGTAGGTCAGAAAATTGCTGTTTTACGTCATTGTACTGAGTGAAGTGTGATAAAATAGTATCATGAAATTAGTGTAAAATTAACATCTATCATTTGAATAATGAAGTAAATACACAAAAACATAATTTTCGATATTTGTTCGATATACAGTCAACTGATGAGTAGCTATCTTGAGATTGAAAATACATATCTGGTGAATAAACTGCTGAAATATTCACGCTGATACGGAAAGAGAGATATCGCGATCGGCGAGATGATGGGCGCGTTGATAACACGCGTGTCTTCCGTGCAATCTATCCCAGCACAATAATACCGCCGCAATTTTCATTTAAGTTTTACGACGTCGCCCGACAACCATCATGTCCCTGTGGGATCCGAAATAACCTTTAAAAAGTGAATGTCAAATAAAATATATGCATGTACGTGTACGTGTATACACATACGCTCGTAGCTGTGACCGGCAATATACAGAAAACACCGGGGGGTGGTGATAAAATTGCTCTTACCCCGGGCTGTCCCTGACTTCGTCGGCTTTAAAACCACGCGGTACTTTCCCGCCTCGCCCTCGCGGCTGGAAATACTCAATTTTTTATTATAGATTTGGATAAAATTCGTCGTTTTGTTCCAGAAACGCATCATCCCGCCGATCTCGTCGCATCGCGCACTTCGCATTTATCGACAAGGATTATCCGACTCGACACAAATCTTGGATTTTTTATTTTAACTTCTCGAATACATATACGCGCGCGCGCGCGACACGTAAAAAAAAAATATATATATATATATTTGAGAAGTTTCAAATCAAAATTCGGCGATTCGTGCCAAATCGAGATGGATATTTCGCGTCCAATAATCACGAAGTGCGAGACGCGGCGAGATACAAATATAAATGGCTCGAAGTGCTTGCCTATGCTGCAGAACACATCGACTCGTTTATTCCTTATGACGCTTTTCTCGCACGGCCACTGAAAAATTTCCTCTAAAATAGCGCAAACATTCAGCTCCGCGCTTTTCAGCCTTCGTATTTTCACATAGCGGATAATTTCGACGTAAGCCGACGCGATTCGACGCGATTCAAAATTTACTTATTGAAAGAATAACGTGCGGACGAATCTTCTGCTTCTCAATTGTACACTGCTATTTGATCAGGGTTTAATATTTTTCTTTAATTTCATCTTTTATTTCTTATTTAATATTTCGTCCAAATTATCCTCTCGCGCAAGAATAATTAATTTGTCCTATGTAACCCTCATTGGCTTACAGCATTTTTATTCTATCTAATATTTGAAAAATTTTAATATCGAAAAGTATTTAATTTTGTTTTTTTGAATATACACTTTTTAAAGGTCTCTTTTATTTAAATTTTCTATTTATCTCGTGGAATGAGCTCAGGGATAATTCCGTCGCGAGTAAGCCGGCGGGAGAACCCGCAAATGAAACGTCATAATATTAAACGATATCGCGCGTGAGAACAAAAACTCACAGTCACACGTGTTCCAGTCGAGTTTTTGCAGCGCACCTGCAATAACTGATTTACACTACTTGCGCAAAATGCTATCGTGAATACGACGGTATGGCTCAATAAAATCCAACGGCTGTGCAGGAGTCATTTCGTTGCGCGAACATTTCCAAGTTTACGTAAATGCAATTGCAATTTTACACGTGGAGGGTGGAGGTCGATCGACCAAACTCCAGGTTTACGGTACTTATATGCTCGAAAGAATTTCACTGTATGAAATCGTACGAAAGCGGTACGAAGCTTTTTTCTTTAATTTCGTCGCATGTTTTTCGCCGCGCTGAATATATACAAAATGCGCGCCTCAGCGACGTTAATACGCTGATTATTTTAGAAACGTTGCGTTTCAACAATGTAAGCCCGATACCTCGCTAGAATCACATTTTTGAAAATGTCCTGGGCTGAAATCCGGTAAGTACACCGTACTTTCGCCGCGCGTTTTCCAGCCTCGAATTCGAGCGTCGAGTTAAAGAAAGGTTTGTTTTACAATAGTTCTAGAGTTCTATATCATATATAACAATAG